TCTCATAGGGAAGGAAACTGAGGCCTAGCTAGGGGCTTGCACAACTTTACACAGCAAGCTAGTGGCAGAATTTCTTTTTTACCTTTTTGTTTGTTTGTTTTAGCTCATGGTTCCCAAGAGTTTATCTATGTGATCTCATTTTCATAATAACCCCATGGGGTAGGCAGTGCTAGTATTATTGTGGAAATTTTACAGATGAGGAAACTGCTACACAAAGAAATGAGAGATCTGTCCAAGGTCCTCAGGATTTGAAACCTGGGAGGTTGCCTCACTTTGAATTCCAGTGCTCTTTGGTTCAAGTGTGGGTGCAGAAAGCAGGCTTCTGGGGGACAAACTTTAAGAGAATGTAATGGCTTTCTTTTTCCCTCTTTGCTGGCAAAGTTTGCTCTCTGTCCGTCTGTCCATCTGCCTGTCTGAGAAGGGGGAAGGGCTGCTGCCCGAGTGTGGGAAAAGTTAGTCAAAGAACAGATCCTGCCACAAACTTTACCATAAGTTTCTCCCACCCATTTGGTCACAGCTGACTGGTTACTGGTAAACCCTATTGGGGAAAAAACCTCCCGCTTGAGCTCACAGCAGACACAACACAAAGTCCAAACCACCCCCAGTTTCTCCCTAATTATGTCCCTTCCTTCCTCCTCACTGATTAGCACTGAGGTCATACTAATGAGATCATAACAAGTAAGCCCTTTGACCCCTGGAGGGATGTGTTTTGCAGCGAATGAGAAATCTTAGAACCTTAGTGCTGGGAAGGGCCCTTAGAAATGGAGCTCAATCCTTTCATCTGACAGAGGGGGAAGATTAAGACCAAAGATGGGAAGTGACTTGCCCAAGGTCATACAGGAAGTTAGTGGCTTAATTAAGCCCAAGTCTCCTGATTCCTTGGCCAGTGAACAAGGAATTTCCTACTATATAACAACCTTTCTCCTATATCATGGCTGCTTCTCCTAGACTGAAGTCCAAAGTGGGGAAGGGGCTTCTAATTTTCCCTTCCCTCCCAGCCCCCAATCTCTGCTCTCTAATTCCACACTCAAACTTTCCAAACCACAGCTTAGAGGCTGCTGCTGGGCAAGTGGATAGAGCACTGCGCCTGGAGTCATGAAGATCTGAGTTCAAATCCATTTCAGACACTTACGATGTGACCCTGGGCAAGTCACTTAACCTCTGTTTGTCAAAGTCTCTATAAAATGGGGATAATCGCAGCACCTACGTCCCAGAGCTGTAGTGAGGATAAAAATGAGGTAATATTTGTAAAGTGCTCAGCACAGCACCTGGCACGTACTAGGTGCTATAGAAACGCTTATTTCCCCATGTCCACCTCATAGCTCCCACAGCGGAGGCATCGTTGCTGTCTGGGCCTTGCCTACATCTTTCCTCACTGCGCCTAGGTTCACTGCCCCTAGGTTCACTGCCCCCCCCATCCCCCTTAGTTTCTGGCTCTTATCATAACTTCTTAGTCTCTTCTCCCACTCCCCCTCCCACTCTAAGAGGCTGAGGAACAGGTGACTCCTCAGAGCCTGGCAGATGATTGGCCCAAGCTCCACCCCTGCACTCCAAGAGCAATAACAACAGGAAGCAGACCAGTTGGGCCACTTCTGGGAAGGTGTCCAGACCCTGGAGAAGGCATGCTGCCAACCAGGAGGTGGCCCTGGCTTCCCTCCTCTGGGCTGAGTTTTGGAAGCTGGGGGACCTGAATCACAGCTTTCCGGGAAGTGGGCTAACGGGATTCCAGAGCTAAGGGTTGGGTCAGGGCCACTGTGACTGAGTCACCCAGGACTCTGGCCACCAAAGGCTAAGGGGCCGTTAGAGGCCAGGGGGCCTACCCTTATCCCACCTCCTCCCTCTATCTCAGAAGCCATCACTCCTTACCCATACACACACACACACACACACACACACACACACACACACACACACACACACACACACACGTCCCTGTTCTGTTCCTGCAACCAAGGCCTCCTATTCTTTAGACCCTACTTCATGGCTCTTGAATCTTTCTCCTTTGATATGCCTATAGGTGGCACAAAGCTATCAGGGATAGTTAATATATTGTATAACAAAGGAAAGATCTAAAAGGATTGATTCAGGCTAGAATATGAGGCCAAATCTAGTAAGGTTAAATTTAATATGGATAAATGCAAAGTCTTACACTTGGGTTCAAAAAATCAACTTCACAAGCATAAGTTAGGGGAGGCACGACTAGACAGAAATCCAAATGAAAAAGATCTGGGTTGTTTTTTTTTCCTAGTGGAATTCAGAGCTCATTATGAATTGAAAGTGTAATGTGTGTCAGATAAAAAAAATCAAATGCCATCTTAGGCTGAATTTAGGGAACTTGGGATGGTGATAGGATCAATCAATCAAGCATTAAGTGCCTACTATGTTCCAGACACCATTCCAAGTAATGGAGATATAAAGACAAAAATGAAACAGTCCTTTCCCTCAGGAGCTTTTATTCCATCCCCAAAGACTGTGTCTTGGTTTCTTGGTATTTGCAAGGTCCAAAAAAGGTCATCACCTTTTGGAAAGGACATTGATGATCTGGAGAGTTTCTAGAGGAGGACAACCAGGAAAAAGGGTTTTAAGATCATGCTACAGAGTTAATGGCTCAACACCGAGTTTGGTTCGTACCTTCTGTTGTAGACCTTTGTCTGAGATCAATTCCCACTTACTGTGTATGTACATAGTGGTTTGTCTCCCCCATTAGAACATGGGCTTCTTGAGGGCAGGGACCATACTTTTGCCTTCCTTTGTAACCCTAACGCTTAACACAGTGCCTGGCACAAAGTGAGAACTTAACCAATGTTTGTTGACTGATTGACTGAAGGAACTGGGGATGTTTAGCCTAGAGAAGATTTAGCATGGAACATGATACTTGTCTTCAAAGGGATTTGACTTGTTTTGCTTGGTTCATACAGGTCAGCCTTAGGAACAATTGGTAGAAATTGTAAAGATAGACCTAGATTTGATAATAAGGAAAACCTTCCGAAGGATTAGAGCTATCCCAAACTGCCATGAATTGCCTGGGGTAGGGAGTGGTATTCCCTTATTAGACAAGCAAAAGCTGGGTGGCCGTTCCTTAGGTAGCTTGTAGGGTGAATTCTTGTTCAAGTACAGGTTGAACTAGAAAGTCTCTGAGATCCCTCCCAACTCAAAGATCCTGTGATTTCTAGATTCAACCATCTGCCCTCCAGCCTCTGCTGGATCACCACTTTTTCTAGGCCTAGGGAACCTCCCTAGCACCCCCTTCCCTGAATCTTCCCTGTATACAGTGAGAGCTCAGACCAGGATCAGAGCTAACACGGTTCTCATCATCTGCTGGGAGACACTATGGTAAGGTATATCCACAGAGCTAGGAGACACTCTCCCTGATCTACTTTGACTTACTATGCTATGATGGAAAGACTATTGGCTATAGAGTCACAGGACCTGGGTTCAAATCCTGCCCTTTATGCTTATGACCTATGTGACCTTGAGCAAATCACTTCTACTTTCTAGACTTCAGTTTCCTTACCTGTACATTGAGGAAGTTCACATAGATATCCTCTAGAGTCACTTTCAGCTCTAGATCTGTGATTCTATCTATGGTAACATGGGCCATGGGCCAAACCACTTCACCATTCTGGGCCTCAGTATGTCCATCTATAAAATTAGGATGTTTGACTAGAAGGATCATTGAAGGCTCTTCCAATGATAAATCTGGCCAAGTTCTGGCCCCATCTGCCACTAAACACTTGGCCGAATGTTGGCAAGACCTTTTCTCTCTGACACTCAGTTTCCTCTTTCCTAAAATGGGGTGTTGGCCTAGATTAGGGGGTTCTTAATCTAGGATCTATGAATATTTTTAAAAAAGATTTTGATAAGCATTTTAATATAATTGGTTTCATTTGTAATCCTGTTTTCTTTTATGCATCTAAGAACATTACTCTGAGAAGAAATCCATAGGCTTGACTAGATTGCCAAAGAAATCCATGACACAAGAAAGGTTAAAAAACCTTTGAACTAGATGACCTCTAAACTTTTTTCTCAAATCAGGTCAGCAAACATTTATTAAGCACTGTGAGGTAGCTAGGTGGTGCAGTGGATAGAGCCCTAAACCTAGAGTGAGGAAGATCTGATCTCAGTCCCAGCCTAGGACATTTACTAGCAATGTGAGTAAGTCATTTAATTCTGTTGGCCTCCGTTTCTCCATATGTAAAATGGGGATAATAATTGGCCTCACCTCCCATGGTTGTTGTGAGAATAAAATGAGATATTTATAAAGTACTTTGTAAACCTTAAAGAATGTATGTGTGTGTGCATATATATATATATATATATATATATATACATATATATATACATATATATATACATATATATATATACATATATATATATATATATACATATATATATATATCCACACACTAGTTATTATTTTTATTAAGTGCCTACTGTGTGACAGGCACTATGCCAAGCAATATAAGACAGAAAACATTCTTTTCTCTCAAAGAGCTCACAGCCTAACCAGGGAGACAACATAAGAACAACCACGCACAAACAAGATATGCATATATATGTATACATTCATGCATATATGTGTATGTATGTATGCATGTATGCATGTGTATGTGTATGTGTACAAAAGATAAATTAGAGATAATCAACCCAGTGAAGGCACTAGCGTTAAGGGGGATCAGGAAAGGCTTCTTTTAGGATTAATATTTTGGATTTCAAGGCCTTGGGTCCTAAGGTTCCTTCCAGCTCTGACTTTTTATGTCTTACTATCTATGGTCCTGTCCTACTCTGACCTTCTGGATTCTAAGGTTCTAACTTTAATTTTTTTTGTCTTTTGCTTTTCCTCTCTCCCTCTTCCTCCTCAAAGCCAGGGAGCTTGCCCCAAAGCCAACCATTCCATGGGCCTGAGGCAGGTGGAGGAAACTGGTTCTGCCCAAGGCCATATTAATGACCCACAGCCTTGGGACAGGGCCTTAACCAAGAGTACACTGAGTCAGCTGGTCTAACAGCATTCCACCCTCCCCATGGATAAAAACCTTAGGCCTGAAAGCCAGGCCTCACACTCAGTCTTTCTCCCTGGAACGCACACCTTCTATCATCTTGGTCCCAGGGCCCTGAGCCCTTCTTCCTCACTGACCATGGGATTCTCCAGTTACTGCTGGAGCTGGTTCAGGTTCTTGGCCTGTTTGATGCTCCTGCTCCATTCAGGTGAGTTATTAAGGTGAGTTCCCTTGGCTGGACTTGCCACTTCTCTCTGGCCTCTCCTATCTCATGTCCCTCCTCTCTTCTGCAGTGTGTTTTCCTCTTTTTCCCTAGAAAGCCCTAGCTCCAGCTCTATAGCCTTCTACCTCTGCTTCCCATTCCTAGCTATCTCTCAGTTCCTTTTACTCTTATCTTTCTCTCCCTCTTCTCTGCTCCTGTTTTTTTCTTCTCTTTTACTTTTATTTCTCTTGTTCTGTTTCCACTCTGGTGTCTGTTTTCATTCTTTTCTGTCTTCGCAGCTCAGTGTCTTGTTATACTTTGCAGCTCTAATTCTGTCTCTTTTATGTGTGTTTGCAGCCTTAGACAAGAAATCAGAAGCCCTGGCTTTTAGTCCTGGCTCTGCTGTTGACTCAATGTGTGACCTTGAGTGAGACACTTCCCCTCCTTGGGTCCCTTCCAACTGTGACATCTTATGAGCCAATGAATCTGTCAATGTCTCTGTCTGTTTTGACCTATCTACCTTTCTGTACCACCCCTCTATTCCTTTTTATTCCATTTTCACAGAGCTCCCACTCTCTTCTCTCATCTTGTCCTTGCCCTAACTTCCATCCAGGAGAGGGTGGAGATTCTGAAAAGGGACATTGCGTGTTAAGGGAAGTCTCCACTGGAGGCTCAGACATGGGAAGAAGGTAACAAGGGATGGTTCTTATAATCTGACTCCCCTTGCATCCATCTCTGAATCCTTGCAGAGAGCCTACAATGATGAGCTGAACAACACATAGATGGAAAGTTCTGGTAGGTAGAGGGCAGTATGGACAGAGGCATGCTTGGAGGTGCAGTCAGAGGTATAGGAGAACAAGGGTGTGTGCCTTTTAGCCTCCAGGCAATGTCTCCCAGAGGATTCTTACCCTCTGGGACCCAAGGGGCTTCTCAGAAAAGGGAGGAGCATGGGCATGAGCAGGTCTTTGGAACAGTATGATGGATTTAGAGCTACTGGCCCACTTCTGTTCAAGCATCCTGACCTTTTCCTTTTTTTCCTACTAGTCACTCCAGAAGCTGGTGAGATGCCAGGTGAGTAGGAAATACTGGGGCAACCCCATGAATGGGGAGGGAAGGAAAGGAAGAAGTAGATGGAGATAGCAGATCAGGTTGAAGGGTCAAAAAAGTTTGAGAAAAGTGAAAATGTAGAAAAAGAAAAGAGGAAGATGATAATGGCAGGGGAATGGGGAGGGGAGAGAAAGAAAGAGAATAAGTATTTACGTAGTACCTTCCATCTGTCAGGCAGCATGCTAAATGCTATACACATATCTTCTAATTTGATTCTCACAAAAATTCTGTGAGGTAGATGTTATTATTATCCCCATTTTGCAGTTAAGAAAACTAAGGCAAACTGAGGTTAAGCGACTTGTCCAGAGTCACACAGCAAGTAAGTGACTGAGACCAGATTTGAACTCAAGCCTTCTTGACTCAGTGCTCTATCCACTGCGAGACACCCAGCTTCCTCTAAGGAAGAGAAGGGGTTCTCATTATAGGATGGAAGAGATCAAGAAAAGCCAAGAGAGAAGGATGGAAGATGGAGGTTAGGGAAGGGTAGCTAGTGAAGAGAAAGGAGTTCTAACTTCCCTTTTTCCCTCCAGCCTGTGGGAAACCCCAGCAGCTAAACCGAATCGTAGGGGGGGAGAATGCCATGGAGGCTGAATGGCCATGGATCGTCAGTATCCAGAAGAATGGAACTCACCACTGTGCAGGCTCCCTGATCACCAACAGATGGGTAGTCACAGCTGCCCATTGCTTCAAGGAGTATGTTTTTCTCTCACAACTTTCCTCTCCTCTCCCAGAAACCAGACAGATCTCTCCTCTTCCTGATAAATAATAATAACTATTATAAAAGCTAGCCTTTTTTTTAGCACTTTAAGATTTGTAAGGGCTTTGCAATTTTACTTTATTCAACTTGGTTCTCATAACAACCCCTCAGAATTAGATGCTATTATTATCCTCTTTTCACAGAGGAAGAAGCTGAAGCTGAGGAGTTAAGTGACTTGTGTTCAAGACCGGATTTGAATTCAGGTCTTCCTCACTTTAAATACAGTATACTATCCACTATGCTATCTAACTCTTCATAAGCATCCTGGGCCCCAGATCTATCTATCCTAGAACCCACCCACTTTGTTCCTCTACCTTCTCTCAGAACCCGAGTCTTGTCACCTAGACCTCTTCTTCCTAGAATCCAGGCATCCTGTTTCCTGTGCCTTTTTGCCCTAGAACCCAAGTATCTTGCCTCCTTATTCTCCCCAACTACAGCTAGAAGACACCTTCGAGATCATCTGGCCCAATTCCCTCATTTTAAAGATGAGGAACTTAAGACATACAGAGGTTAAATGACTTGCCCAATGTCACGCAGATAGCAAGGAACATACTTGAGATATACTCATGGCCTTTAACTCCAAATCCAGGGATTTTTTTTTTTCATTATCCTACACTGCTTCTTCCCTACCCTGGCATGCTGTCCCCTATCTCTTTCCCCTAGGAACCACATTTCTTGTCCCTCCTTCCTTCTTAAAACCCAAGCATCTTGTGCCCCCAGACATGTATACTCTTAGAACCTCAGCATATACTGCTTCCATATGGAACGGAGGCTGGGAGACATAGAGCAGCTGGTACCTGACCAACATCCTCTCTACACCATTCCTGACCAGCAGTCATCCTGCTTTCTCTTAAAGACTTCTAGTGAGGAAGAACACCACGGAGGCAGCTCATTCTACTCTTCTAAGGCTTTAATTGCTTGAAGGTTTTCCTAATCTTAGTCCTCTTTCATCTCTCTGAGAATTAGGAATTTTGTCTTCTTGTTCTCCTTAAGAACCCAGGTATCCTGTCCCCAGACCTCTCTCCCATCACCAAGAACCCAGGCGTCCTGTCCCAAGTAGTCTTGAACCAGCTATTTCTCTGTTTTCCAGTTCCGTGGAGCCATCTCAATTTTCAGTGCTCCTGGGGGCCTGGCAGCTGGGAAACCCCGGCCCTCGGGCCACACAAGTGGGCGTGGCCTGGGTACTGCCCCACCCTATCTACACCTGGAAGGACAGCAACCAGGGGGACATCGCCCTGGTACGCCTTGATCACTCCATCAAATTCTCTGAGCATATCCTGCCCATCTGTTTGCCTGACAGCACGGTGAAGCTCCTTCCTGGTACTTCCTGCTGGATTGCTGGCTGGGGTAGCACTGGAGATGGAGGTAAGAGGCCCCATGAAACACCCACATACCCTCAAAGAAGGAGAAAAGAGAAGCTTCTAGAGGGAGCTCTGGATGCGTGGAGGCAGAGACAAACAGAGTGGGGAGAAAGTTCCAAAACTGCACTTCCCTGCCTTGGTCACACTGTTATCTAGGGCAGGGTTTAATTCTGGACTTCATTAGAAAAAGGACTTTGACAATTTGGAGCTTACCCAGGGAAGGTGAAATAGGAGATCAAGGGCCCTAGCACCCATATGAGAGTACTTAGACTACTGGGAATGTATGAGAAGACTTGGAGAGAACATGATAGTTGCCCTCAAGTATTTTGAGGACTGCCCTGTGGAAAAAGATTTATACTCATTCTTCTTGGCCTAAGAGAGCAGGACTGGGAGCAAAAGGTGGAAGTTACAGAGAAGATTTTAACTGAATATCAGGGAAAACTTCCCCAACAATGACAATTGTCCAAAAATGGAATGGGGCTACCTCGAGGTGAGGGATGTAGGAGGCTTCTCAGCCCTGAAGGTCTTCAAGGGAACTTGAGATGACTGCTTGTTGGAGATATCCTAGAAGTGGTTTGTGCTTCAAGCAGGGGAGCAAATTAGGATATTTCCCACTCCGAGATGATGTGAAAGACGATGAGATAGAGAAGCAGAGACAGACTTCATCACTGCCAGAATGCCAAGATTTCGAGGACCAGAGAGCTTCACCCTCAGCTGACCTAAGTACAGAGTTTGTTGAAAGTATTCAAAGCCACTGGGCCAGACACACACAAAAAGGAAGTGAGGAGACATGTTCTGATTCATTTCACTCAAATGTGGGTTTCAGTATTGGTTCTGGTCCAGAGATAGGGAGGTAGGAAAAGTCCTAGTCCTAGGAAACCAGCCCTTCCCACAATAGTAGGGCGATGCTGAGTGGCCAGCAATAGTTAGGCTCAGGACAGTTTTACAGTGGAAAATTTTACAATTGTCTAGGGCCTGAGCTTATCATCCAGTCATTCTAGATGCTTCTATTTTTCTCCCTCTCCATGCCTCTCCTGGGGGATTCGTGGGAAGTAGCCTTGTTTAACCAGGCTGCCTCAGGTTCAGAGAAGCAAAAATGTGGAAAACCTACTTTATATCCCTGTTTTTAAATGGTGTTATAGCAAAATGATCGAATGTTTTATCTAGAAGGCATCTTACAGGCCTTTTGGTCTAAATTACAGTCAAACTTGCACCTACTTAAAGGTCTCCAAGAATGGACAGAACACTACTCATTCTTTCTGAGTCTGGTCTTTTTGCTATCATTTAATCACTTTTTAGTCATATCTGACTATTTGTGACCCCCTTTTCTTGTACAGATACTGGAGTGGTTTGCCTTTTCCTTCTTCAGCTCATTTTAACAAATGACAAAACTGAGGCAAACGAGGTTAAGTGACTTGCCCAGGGTCACACAGCTAATAGGTGTCTGAGGCAGGATTTGAACTCAGGTCTTCCTAACTTCAGGCCCAGCACTCTATCCACTGTACCACCTAGCTGCTGTTCCGGTCTTTAGGGCCAAATCATTTAAGTCTAATCTTTCCCCCACTCCCACCCCTGCCCATGACAGTCCTTCCTGTATTTGAAAACAGCCATCATATTCCTTCTAAGTCTTGTGTTATCAAGGCAGACCATCTCTGTATGTCATGGTTTTGCATTCTCTCTCCATCAAATTAAGTCAATGTAGGAGTCCTTCAGTGAACTGAACAAAAGGCTAGAATCTAAACACAATCCACCTGGTAGCAGCTGCCCAGGAAGAGATATGGATACAGACTGAAAGACACAGAAGAAAAGAAAGTCAGGTCCAGAGACAGATAAAGGAAGCAAACCAAACAGAAAAAAAAAAACTGAGACAACAGAAAGAAATAGATAAGTCAAGAGGTTTAAGGTTCTGAGTCTAAAATGGGGCATCTGCAGCATTGGGTATATCCTTAAAACTCTAAAGTTGTCTTCACTTAACCATCAGTGATAAGATCCTGAGGTAGAGACCCTGGTGCTGACCCTGGTACTGAGGAATGAGTGTGGACCACTTCTTATTGTCCTGATACAGATGGGGAAAAGAAAGGGCTTCTGGGAGGCCCCTGGGTATGGAGAAGACTGAGAGGGAGTGGTTATCTCTGAGCCTGACTCCCTCTTTCCTTTCCCCTTTCTCCCACTTAGTTGCCCTGCCATATCCCCAGACCTTACAGAAGTTGAAAGTTCCCATCATCTCTTCTGAGACATGCAGCCACCTCTACTGGCAGGGTGCTGGACAGGGGGCCATCACCTCAGATATGCTGTGTGCTGGCTACCTGGAAGGCAAGAAGGATGCCTGCCTGGTAAGCTCTGTCCCTGGGTTGGGTGATTGGTCCACTCTAGAGGGAGCCATCTTCTCCCCCACCCCAACCCCAGACCCAGCTGGATGGTGCCATTGTACCCAGAGATAAAGAATTCTCCCAAGAATCTGGTGGTACTTCTGCTCATTGGCCTCTGTTGCCTGCCTTACTCCCCTGGGCATGACAACCCAAGAGGCAATCAGATTTCTCTCTCAAGAGCAATTATAGACATATCTCCCAAGCTGCTCTATTCTTAGCAGCCAGCAAAACCTGCATTAGCCTCCTGAGCCCCCACGTTATGTCAACTCAGGGGCAAGAGGCTACCTGACCACGGCATGCCAGTTTGGCTATGCCATAAAATCCATAAAGGGGAGTTAGTGTATTAAGAGACCAGAAAGGTCAGTTGGGGTTGAGGGAAGAAAAGGTGTCAGCTAACTGGGCCCAACTTGCTCACCCCAAAGCCAGGCATTATGATGGCCTGTTATACTCAGCTTACACTAGGTCCTACCCTGGAGGTGGCTGGTCCTCCTTTCGCCTTCTAAATGTATGTAACTTTTTTCCATCCCTGCAGGGTGACTCAGGGGGCCCCCTGATGTGCCAAGTGAATGAGTCCTGGCTTCTTGCTGGCATCATCAGCTGGGGAGAGGGATGTGCTGAGCGCAACCGGCCTGGGGTCTACATTAGCCTCACTGCCCACCAGGCGTGGATCCGAAGGGTAGTGCAAGGGGCACAGTTCCGAGGACAGCCACATGGAGACACCAATGACTTCAGGCTTGGGGGTCGGAGGGGTGTGTGAGATTACAGGCTGCAGTCCTCCTAGGGGTGGAAGGTGGGATCTGGGAGCCAGCTGCAGGGTCAGCTAGACACCTGGGTCTTTGACTTCATGTTGCAGTTTTTCCCACTAAACACATGACCTACCTCTGAAGGGTGGCAGAGCTCAGAGGCCTAGCTTCATGCCACAGCTCTGCTGCCAATTAGCTTTCCACTGGGCCTATACCATCTCCCTTTGGGGTTAGGCACCCTCTCTCCCCACCTCCCCCAGCACCTTGAGAGAAAACAGGGGACGGGTAGAGGGTGAGGAACCTGAATTCTTGGGTGTTATCCCGGCTGGCCGGTGACCCAGAGCTACCTCAGTCTCGCACCCTGGTTGGGTAGAGAGGAGTGAGGGAAGAAGAATATAGTCCTCAAGAAAACGTACGTTTGAATGTAACTGATTTTTGTAGTTATTTGTAACCACTTCCATGTATCTATTACTATTTATTCCTCTAATTTCAATAAATTTTTTATTCACCTATTCTGGGAATTTTCTTCTACCAAACTTCCTGTTTTCTTGACATGGATCTTGACCATAACAGAAATATCTTTTCCATTATCCTCAAAGTGGTACTTCCCAGGCCACCAAGATTTTCCTAGGATCCAGATCATCAGATCCCAATGTCCAGAAATATTATAGAACAGAGGACATAGTTGGACTATACTAGGGTTCTAATCTCAGTTCCACCACCAACCAATTGTAGAAACTTGGGCAAATTCCTTTTTCTCCAGGATTCATTTTCCTCATCTTTAAAATCAACATGTTAGATTTGATTAGTTTTAAGGTCCTTTCCAAATCTGACATTCCATGATCTAAGATCTTTTAGAAATTTGATGTTCTATGTTCTTTGCTCTAAGATCCTTTCTATCTCTGACATTCCATAGTCTAAGGTCTCTTCCAGCTATGGAATTCTGTGTTGTATGTTCTAAGGTCCCTTCAAAATCTGATATTCTATGTTTTTTTGTTCTAAACTCCCTTACAGCTCTGAAATTCTATATTCTTGGTCCTAAGGTCTCTTCTAGCTCTAGAATTTAATAATCTAAGTCCTTTCCAGTTCTGATATTCTATATTCTAAGGTCCTTTCTATCTGACATCCTTCATTCTAAGAACTTTCTCAGCTCTGACATTATATGATGCTAAGATTCTAGGCCTTAATGCCTTGTTTCCAGACACCTAACCAGGGTCTTCACAGCTCCTTCACAGCCACCTCCCCCCAGACCCCACCATTGGAATTGCCATATCATTGTCATACATTATAATTATGCAACACTTCATAGTTTAGAGAGTGCTTTCTTGCAATAACCCTGTGAGGCAGGTAGAAAAAAATAATTATTCCTAGTTGACAGAGAAAGAAACTGAGACTCAGAGGAATGAAGTGACTTATCCTGGTTCCATAACTCATGAGTGGTGTAGCTAGGATTCTCACCCAGTTCTTCTTACCCCAAGCCCTTTCTCCTATGCCACTTCTAGGCAACTACCCCTTCCAAGCTTCTGGTCCCCAGCTCCTAGTGACTAATTGAGGCCTAGCAGAAGCCAGGGACATGGCTGAGGTGAGGAGAGGGGAGAAGTCGAACTAGAGACTGTGGGACATGTAGGAATTGAGTCTATAGGGGGTGGAGTTGGGAGAACTCTTGTTCTCCCACTCCAAATTCTCCTAAAGGAAACTACCTGGATCAATGTTGAATGTCCCTGTAGGGACTCTGACTTTGGGATGTCAATGTCAACAGAGTATGCATACTGCAGAAGGAAGAAGTCTAGCCTTCTGGCATTCTAGAGATCGGGTTCTAGATGATCTCTCAAGCAGGGTTTTTCATGGAAAACCCCTTTGGTAGTCCAATGAAGCTTCCCCTTCTCAGAATAATGCTTTTTAAAATGCATAAAATGAAATACATCAGAACACAAAGCAAATCAATTACAGTGAAAATTAAGATGTAAATTTTTCTTCCCATCCAACTTCACAATCCTCTTGAAATCCATCCACGGAACCCAGGTTAAGAACTGGTAAGGGCTCAGAGGTCTTGTCAAGCTCTGAAAACATATTGGCTTAAACTGTTTGGTGCCCTTTTCTATCCTTCCAAGCCTAAATTTAGGGCTAATGTCATTGATGATATTAATAATGGTCATTTCATGGTTTTGTAATATTTCTTGGCTTACAGAGATAGGTAAGGGAACAGGATGAATGACTTGCCCATGTTTGAACAGACATTCAATGTCAGAGCCTGGATTCAAATTCAGGTTTCCCAACTTCAAAGTCAGCACTTCCCCCCATCCCCCCCCATCACACCATTATATTGCCTGTCTCAAAGCATTCAAATCAAGCATTTGTTAAACACCTACTTAAAAGGTATGTTGAGTGTACAGAACCTCATGAGGGGCTAGGTGCTGGAAAAATCCAAAGTTTCTGTGAGACCTAGGCCTGCTTTCATGGAGTTTAAAGTAAGTGCTTTTCTTATAATACCCCTGTGAAGTTGGCAGGGAAATATTATCCTCATTTTATGAACACCACAGGCTTATATTGATAAAGTAAACATTATACAGGTGCTGCTTTCAGTAAAGACATTCTTTCCCATGCTGGAAAAGGTAGATCATTCATCATTTCAATTCAGATAAGGAAAATGCACTAGGTGCAAATCCCCTCCCCCAAACCCCAAACAAACCCCAAAACCACAACACCCAGAAACTACCTGTTTTGAAATCAATTAATTGAATATTGGGGATAGGTAAGGAAACCAGGGAGGGAAGATGCCTCTTGGCTTATCCATATATGCCTATTAACTTCCTTCTATACTTTTGAGGCCAATGAGGACACACTTTCCTGACTTCGTACTTTTTCATTGGCTGTCTTCCATGTCTGGAATATTCTCTCTGCTTACCTCCTCTTCTGGCTTCTTCAGCTTCCTATAAGACATCTCAAATCTCACCTTCTGCAAGAGGACTTTCCCCATCCCCTCTCCCTCTAAGACTATCTCCCATTTACACTGCATAAATTTTGCACATACATAATTATTCACATGTTGTGCCCCCATTAAAATGTGAGGTCCTTGAAGGCAGTAAAGTGCCTAATACAGAGTAAGCGCTTGACTGACCAACCCAAGTGAGAACTTAGTTCAGTTGGGGTACATTCAGTGACTCCATCTGTAGAAAACCAGGCTAGTCTTGACATCTTGTTCTACTTTTGTAATTATTAAATGCAATAGATCCAATATATACAAAATCATTCTGGCCCAGATATAAGTAGATTCTTGAAGACATTATTTCTCACTGAAAATCCCCACAGAGACTTCAAGTATGTTCTCTTCACTCTGGGATTGAACCTATGAGGTTCACTGAAGAAAAGTCTGTCAGAAGACAGTCTTTGCGGGAACCATTGGTCTGAATTTGAAGCACCATTAGTCTGAAGCAAATGTACTGAGTCACTTGGCATTATGTTTAGTAATCAGATCTATTCAAAACAATATTTTTATTAGAAAATATTCAAACAGCTATTTGGAAGATGGTCATGTTAGAGAGACTTCCTCCATGAACCAAACATCCCAGTTTGATAACAAGAAGTATGGGTCTTATTTACTCTTGTGAAATTCTTCATGGGAAGTTTTAGAAATTATCTCAGATTGTATGGTTTTATGTTCAAAGTACAATTTAGGCACAAGGTGTTTGTGAAAGATACATATTGAGATGTTAAATCCTAAGAGTCAGTTTCATACAGCTTTAGGGACTTCAAAGATATTTTCAAGTCCCAGGGAATCAAATAACCATTTATGAGAATAAATAATTCTATCTTGTAATACATGTTGTATGTGAATGTGTATATATGTATATACGTATGTATGTGTATACATTTGTGTGTGTGTATATATACATATATGTATACATATCTTTATATAAAATATTAGTATTTTCTGGTAACTTGTGATATATGCTAGCATTTGTGTGTAAATCTAGTTTGTTTTGATCATCAGCTAGTAGCCTTTAAATTTAGAAGCCTAGCAGATTTCTAGCCTTATGCATTACTTCATTCTATCTATAATTTTGAGACCCCAGTGTTTTGCTTCCATCCAGGTGAGGAAACTGAGTCTCATGGGCATTAAGTGAATTGCACAAGAACACATAGCTAGAAATGACAAAGTTGTGACTCTAGCCTAGGGCCTAACAAACATTTCCCAATTGCCAACTATTTGCACAACACTGTGCCAGGTGCTGGACACATAGACACACCACCATCAAGTCCCCCCCAAACAGTCATTGCCTTCAAGGAACTTACATTCTACTGAGTCTTCATTCAACATACACAAGGTCTAGCACTCTTCCACGGGGGCCTAGATGGAATGTCCCTCCAATGCCTGGGAGATATAATGATGAGAGGGGAGGAGGAGGCAAAGGTCCCATTCTGAGGTTCCTTTTTGTTGACACCCAACCCTGGATCCAATATGACCCTGTCTCAGGCTCAATCCCAATCCCTGGGCCGCGCTCAGAGATTTGGGGTGAGTCGAGCCTCCTCACCCGCTCCCAACTGATTCATTAAGTGAGTCACTTCAGATTCTAGAAATTCCTCCCCAGCGATGAGTGTGAAAACAATGAGACAGCTGGATTCTTGGATTTCCCTTCATCACGAACTCCCAGTCACCTCTCCTGACCTGTAGCTTCCTCCTTGTGCCCCAGGTTGGCAGGGAACTGACAAAAGAACCAGAGGGAGGGGATTCTCTAGGCAAAGTCATTGGGAGGGGAGCTTTTCTGCACTCAGAGCCCCCTCCCACCCCAAGACCTTCCCATTGTCTTGTCCTGCTCCTTTCAGAACCCAAGGCTGCCTTTTCTGGGTCTTAGTTCTTGTCAGATGCTGGCTTCCCTTCCTCTCAATCCTTAGGGCTTCCTTACCCTTCTTTGCCCTCCCTGCCCTGCCCTGCCCAGCCCAGTCCCCTCTCAGCTCTTACTAACTCTAATCCAAAGGTGGTGGTTTGGTCTAAAGTAATCTTTTCTTTCTTTTCTTTTCTCTTTCTTTCTTTCTTTCTTTCTTTCTTTCTTTCTTTCTTTCTTTCTTTCTTTCTTTCTTTCTTTCTTCTCTTTCTTTCTTTCTTTCTTTCTTTCTTTCTTTCTTTCTTTCTTTCTTTCTTTCTTTCTTTCTTTTTCTTTTTCTTTTTCTTTCTTTCTTTCTTTTTCTCCTAAGGCCCTGAGCAATCCTTCAGTCCTTATAGGGGAAAGAGCCCTGAGTTGAGAGTCCAAAGACATGAGTTCCAGTCCTGCCTCTGAAGGACTTGCTGTATGAACTTAGCCCAGTTACTCCCCCTTTCCAGAAAGGTTGCCCCATCTGTAAACTGAAGAGACCAGAATATCTGGACTATAAGGCCCTTTCCAGTTCTGACATTCTTTGTTGTATATCCCAAGGTCCTTTCCAACTAGAGTCACAACTAGCTTGGGATGATTGGGATTCTACCCCAAGTACCAACACCTGGGTGTGAGTGCTTCCTCCCCATGGTGACTGTTGGCATAAGCTGCCAAATAATATTAACTCCCCTTTACCCCAGGGGGATTGTACCTCTAGGGCCCTGGTCACTGTGGCACCTCTCTGCTAGGGGCTATCTCCCTTCATCCCCAATCTTTCAGGGATATAAAGTGGACTCTTCTCAGGGTTGGACCACTCCCTTTCCTGGCATGGCTGCACTCAGTAGTTCTCTGTGATGTCTGCACCCTTGACTATTTTTGCTCTGGCTGAGAAGAATTTCCAGCTATATCTCTGCTTCTATTTCTTACAGTGTGTGTTCCCAGATCTGAACATTCTGTTTTCTGTTCCAACGTCCCATGTAGCTCAGATAGTCAATATTTTATGATTGTGATTCCAATTTCTCACCCCCAATTCAGAAGTCTGATCTCTCCAAGCCCAACTCTGTTCCCTGTTACTTCTTCTCCCTAGCCCACCCATCTCTTCACCCCCTCAACCTCACCTAGGACCGGGGTTTTCCCACCCCACCCCCAGAGCATTCTTACCTGGGCTGAAGAACCCCTCCCTGCTTCACCATAACAGACTGGTCTCCTGCTAACAGGAGCAGAGAACCGGTCTGGGGAGGGAGGAGGTGACTCAGAGGGGAAGGAGGGTTGGGCAGGGAAACTCAACGCCAGGTGTTCTGTGTTCGCCTATCAACCTGGAAACCACAGCCTCTTACAATGTTTCAGCTGGAACCCAAAGTCCACATTCCTGGCATCCTTGTTATTTTAGCGCTGCTTTGGAGTATCTTCAGATTCGGATCTCTCTCTGCTTCTCAGTCTCCGTCACTCCCTATGCTATCCCCCAGACACTTCTCTTTCTTCTCATTACTTCCTCTTCTTTGGTCTTCCCTCTAATGTGTCCTCCTTCTATGTCCTGTAGCCTCCTCCTTCACTGTGTACCTCAGTTGTCCCCTCTCTGTATGTCCCTTAGTCCACCCCCTCTCTCTTTGAATCCTTTAGTCTCCCCCTCCCTGTGTCTCTCACTCAGTCTACTTCTCTTTCTGGTGGTCTTTGCTGCCTAGAGAGCTACAGAGCCCTTTAGTGGTAGTGTTATTTTGTGGGTCTTTCCCCAGCCCCCAAATTGGAAAAAAACTTACTTTCTTCTCTGGCAAATCCCACCTCCCCATGGACCTACATATAGTCCTCCAGACTTATAGTAGTACTACCTTGTTATTTTCCTCTAAATGCTATTTGTCACTCCCTTTTAAAGTCCAGATCCAGGGGTGTGTAATTCAGGTGTAGGAAACAGCCACAAACTATGTCAAGTGAGGACTAGTTGGGGATATTTAGTCACAGACTTATGTCAAATGAGGACAGGTTGGGGATATCTAGCCACAAACTCAGTTAAGTGAAGACTGGTTGGATTTATTTAGCCTGGAGAAGAGAAGATGGATGGGGTGGAGAAGCATGGCTATGATAGCTATTTTCAAGTATTTCAAGGGATGTCACCTGAAGGGAGATTAGATTTGTTCTTCTTGGCCACATATTGAAAAATCAAAAATGATTTCACATTTCACACCTTTTACCAAGATAAGCTCAAAATGGGTACATGATTTAGACACAAAGGGTGATCTCATAAACAAAGTAGGGAAGCATGGAAAAAATTACTGATCAGATCTATAGATAAGGGAAAAGTTCATGACCAAACAAGAGATGGAGAGGATCACAGGAGGTAAAATGGATAATTGCGATTGCATTAAATTAGCAAGTTTTGTGCAAACAAGACCAAAAATGCAGCCAAAAACTAGAAGGAAAGCAGGAAACTGAGGGAAAAAAATTATAGCAAGTGTCTCTGATAAAGGTCTCATTTCTCAAGTACATAGACAGCTCGTTGTATGAGACCTTAAATCATATTATAAAATGAGAGCAGTGTTGAAGTGTAAAATGTGTATTTTTTATTATTTTAAATTAAAATGTTCTTGTATAACTAAAACCTATGTAGCCAAGAATAGAGGAAATGCAGAAAATTGGGGGGGGGAACTTTCATAGATGATCTCTCAAATAAAATGTGATTGGATTGGAATATTGTTATGGTGTAGGAAATGATGAGCTGGTGGATTTAGAAAAATATGGAAAGACTTGAACTTATTCACCTTCAGAGAAACAGATGACAAGTGGAAATAAGGATAATATGGACTTACATGTATACATTTGAGTGTATATATGTATTTGCTTATTATGTATATGTATGTATATATGTATATGTGTGTATATGCACATATGTATATCTATGTACATATACATATATGTATACATATGTCTGCACTTAATTGTAGCCTTTGGGGTGGGGAGGGGAAAAATAAAGTAAAAAGTGCACAGCAGAGGACAAAAGAAAACCTCAAGGAAGCAAAGAAAAGATGGACAGCTTTGAAAATAATATATAGCATTTATTATATAGCTTTCTTGAAATGAAAATATATTGCTATATATTGAATCCTCTTTTATGTTCTGCTTGTGTACATGGCAATCTTTTTTTCCCTTATTTTGAATTTATGTTTAAAATAAATTTAAAAACTTAAAATAACTCAATAAAAAGTTCAAAAAAGTAAAATTGAAAAAAGAAAGTAAAGCTCTTTGAGGGCAGGTCTTGCTAACTTATGTTTGTATTCCCACCATTGAGCACAGTGCCTGGCATATATACCACATATTAAAACTGCTTTATCTATCCCATGATAATTCAAAGGATAGATTCCCTTCTGGTTTCCTGATCCCCAACCCAGCATGCCAGTAGTGGTAAGGAGGTTGAAGAAGTTGAGCTCACTCCTTCTCTTCTGGCTTCACAATCCACCAGGATTCAGTGGCCAGAAGAATAAGATCTAATACATCTTCTTTCTCATCCATTACCAATACCCAGCCTGATGCGTGGGGATGAGACAGAGGTTTACACAATAGAAGCCCCATCCTTGGAACATGCACAGTGTGCTCTGCCTACTGAGAACTCATGTGGAAGAGGCTAGGGCACCTGTTCCAACGAGTGGTGATGAAGTATAATGGAATGATCTTATTTTCCAGTTCAGAGCATGCACACATATTCTAACTGTATTATAAGCAGTCCCCTTGTGGTTGTCTGTACTTTGTTCTCAAAGAGGACCAATGACATCAGGAAGGTGATGTCTTGACTTGCAAAAGAATTGGATTTAAGTGAGGCAGGGCTGTGCAGAGTCACCAGCCTCACTCTTTCCTCCGGAGCCTTCTGGGCCTAGTGGCATCAGTAGATCAGGATGACTGAGGATGGTCCTGGATGAAGTGGGAGACCTTGGCCATATTAAGCTAAGGTCTTTCTCAAGTTTCAACTTATCTGAGGCAAAACCCTTTCAGTGATGAAAGCTAGGTAAGAAATGAGGCAAAAAATGACCTCTTTTACCTAGTCAAAAAAAATAAATCAATCTGGGAGGGAAGACCTTCTGAGTTTCTGGCCAAAACAGAAATAATTGTAATTTACATTCACTCTGAGCCATCAAAGACCAAACAATGACCAAATGATGCTTGACCAGTTCACTTACTATGAGGAGAAGAGCCTTTCAATTGCCTGCTAACCTGAAACTGAGAATGTATTCAAAGAAACTAACTAGAGAAGACCTTTTCACTTTCCTGGCTGCATTAGAGGGAGAGAGACAAACTGTAGGCCTCTGAATGGGGAAAGGCCTCAGGTACTTACCACTTGGGGTTGGCACATGACTGGTGAATTTGGGATTCAACTCTTTACGTTTGTTTTTTCCTGCTCTGAGCCAATGTTTGTCAGAGACAATGTATTAATACACAAGCATTTCTGTTTGGAGAAAGTTCCAAAATGGCATAGTTTATCTTGCCAATTGAAATTTTCCCCACCTAATCCCGTCACATCATGAAATAAAGAACAAAATTCCTTCAGCAAGATAAACCAAAGGTACAGAATTTATTTAGGATTTTTGATTTATCAAACAAAACACTAATCGTATTAATGCTAGTGTACCTTTGAAGAAACTATCTTCCTGGAACCAATTATTTCATCATTAGCTACTTTTCTTTCAGTCTGGCCTAATGTGAACAAAGAGACGTTTCTTTTCATCGAATTCAACAAAGACTCTTCCATTCTTAGTCTGGTCACTGCAAAGAAAAATCAAGTGTCTTGGTTTCAGGGAACTGAGATTCCTTCCTGAACTAGATTGAGAATTCTATTAAAAAAAAATTTTAAAGCCTGAATGGGTCTTTGATTCAAATAAAACAGAGGACTTCAGAGTAGTATATTATTTCCTTGGCACAGATTAAGTCTTCTGATAAGGTTTTTACTAATATTTAGGTGACATCAAAGACTTTAAGCTATGATATTATTTCTTAATATTTAGTTTTTCTTTAAAAAAAGAGATATAGTACGATATACTTGCACTGCATGTTATGCTCAAATGCCCTATAGATAAAAATAATATTAAAGATAATCTATTATCT